CGTACCTTGTGTGCGCATGCGCCTGCGTATGCGCACCTGTGTGTGTGTGTGTGTGTGTGTGTGTGCGCGCGCGCGCGCACGTGCGTGCGCATGTGCATGTGTCTGTTCGTACCTTGTGTGCGCATGCGCCTGCGTATGCGCACCTGTGTGTGTGCGCGCGCGCCTCTCAAGCAGGCGGTGACACTTTCCTGAGGGGGGCGGGGAGGAGGTAGAGCCGGAAGCAATGAAGGACGCTGTGCGCACAGAGAATTCGGCCGCGCCTCCTGCCGTATTCTTCACTGGTCCAGGCTTTATTCCCCTCTCGTTCTGTCTCCTACCTGGATTTTATATTTTAAGGGACCCCAAATTTGGAAATCTAAATGTATATTTTACATTTAAGTAATAACTTAAGTGACAGCGTCTAAAACTTCAACATAAAATACCATCACCTTTCACTAAGAAAACAGTAAAGCCCTTAATTTCAAAGACAGTCTATGAAATTAAAGAAAGCGAGGATTTAATCATGTTAAAAAATAAGAAAGAAAAGCCCTATTGTTGACATTCTCAGCTTCGTCTGACTTAACGATATTCAAGAAAGGCCAGCTAAATTACTGGCTATGAGAGGAGAATTTTGAACTTTCTCTGTGTCAGAAATGGTTGGATGACGCCGGGTTCACAGTTGTCTTAAAGTCTGATATGTAGATGGTTTAAAACAGGTGAAGTTCATGCACGGGACTGTTTTTCTGACGTAGTCTGAAATGACTAGAATAATGCCTTCAGACATGATTCTGAGCTGAGACCCGGCCCAGGGCAGGAGGGATGCCGGGCCCACCGCCGCTGTAAGCGGACTCCCCGCCCCCCAGTCCGGGGGGCACGCGGTGGGCCCGTGGCTCGGAGGGCAGTGACAAGCGGGGAGAGGCGACGCTGAGCCGCCGGCTCCGGAGTGTGGTGTCGGCCCCGGGAGGGGCTGAGCGCTGGGATGGCGGACGGGCTGAGCGTGGTCCTCGTTCGCGCGTCGGCTGGCGCGCACGGACGGCGCGAGCCCGCGACGAGGCCGAGAACCAGGGGGTCCAGCCGCACGCAGGTCCCACCAGCGAGGGAGGTCTCTGTTCAGAGGTTTGAGGGGAGGAGGTATGTCTGGATCTCTGTAGATGCCTTACCTTGGTAAGCGAGTTTAAACCCTTGCCGGTTCTGGGAATGGTCGCTGTAGAAGCGGATGAGCGTTTCGTGCGTTGTGCTGAGCAGGGTGGAGGGGGGGTCCGAGCCGCTGAACTGCCCGATCATAGGGCTCGTGTGGTAGGGTCCGTTTTGAATTTCGAGGTAGTCGTGATTAGCTTCGGTAGAAAAATTCAGAAGCTGAATATGTGCACCTAGGGAAAAACATGCAAAATCAACGAAAGTCAGTATCAAAATGTGTAAGATCAGTGTTTATCAGAAGTGATGCAAACTGTATTAGTCTCCCCACACAAGATTCTCGAGGAGGCAGAGCAGCTGGGTCGTGGCGGCAGAGATCACACAGTTCCGGTTACAAGGGACCTTAGTTCAGTGGCTCCTGTCCCTTGCCACCCACTGGCGCCGGGACCTTCGCTCGAGTGACTAATGTCCCTAAAGTCAGCTTCTTTGTCAAATGTGATCACCAGCGTTGTATCACGGAGACACACGGCTACAATACTTAGAACAATGACTGGCAATCCTGACTGGCAACAGTTTTGTCCGGCTCTGTTACATTATTACAGCCATAAACACAAGGTTGTAATCCTGTGTCTAGTCATCCGTGAGCTCATTTACAACTTTATCAAGAAAGAAGCCAAAATGGGTCTAAATAAAAGTGCCACAGCCTTCAAAGTGGCTTTTAAATGGATGGTCATCCCACCGCACAAGAGATTTGTTAGTTTAGCCAGTGATTGTTTCAACTGTGCTATGCACGCAAAGCAAATTATGGATGTTTGTGAGAAACCCGATCCAAAAAACCTACTGTAATTTACACACTTCAATCCGATAGCCTGGCACGGTTCACACACCAAAAGACTGTCGAAATGACCAGTGTCACTGGAATCAGGTTCATCTTAGAGGATAATTGAGAGGAAGTTAGAGGAAATTCCTCTCGATAACTTAGAGGAATATCAAATTTAGAGGAAATCAAAATCAGAATCATTTAGTTATTTGTTACAACTTTGTGGCATTTTTGAAGATTTATTTGACTACTGTGACTGAAATATTTTAAGTCACTTAAATAGTTTACAGAGGACTCCAAAGGCATTCACTTTTACATAAATCCATGCAGTTAATTTAGGTTTATAAAGCCTAAACTGAGAATTGCAATTGCCATGACGGATTATTCTCCTAAGCCATGAGAAAGTCTTTACTATGTGTTATTCTTCTGCTCTTGATCAGTAAGAGGAGCTTTATTTTTACTTCTCATTACTTTTCACACTTTTATTTTTACTTTTTCACACATGTGACACATGCTTGCTAGGTTTGGAAAACTAAAGATAATGCTTACATGGGTTGCCTTCCTTAAGTGTACATGTGGAGAAAAATTAATGCAAACATATCTACTTAGGTATTGATGGGAAATACAATTATCACAAGCAGAATTCAGTGAAAAGGAACAAGAAAAGTTCAAGTAAAGCAGGAAAGAGAAACACATGCCCTCAGGACATTTCACGTCACCCCAGAAAAATGATTTTATTGCTGATGGAGAGAACTTTGGGAGGAGGCACCAAAGAGTAAGCGATCGCCCTCTCTGTTTGGGCAGAAGTGTGAGGCCAACCACCGTGCTGAGGCTCCACGTTACCAACCGACATTTTTCTCACAATTACCCAGCAAAGTCCTTATGAGTATCATATTTGACAGGTGAGCAAGCGAAGGCTCCGGGGTGTTCGGCGTTATGTCCGGTGCAGCACCGGACAAGCAGACTTAGATTTACACCCGAGTCTGGCTGACAAAGCACTCACTTTCCTGGTTTAGCAAACATACTGGACAAGAGCTAACAATCTCAGGATGCCGTAAATATTCCAGCTCTTATTGGAGAAGATTGTTTGTATTAAATTTGTTCAACTTTGACTGTGAGGGGGAGGAAGGAAAGAACAGAATGTGAGAAACCTTAGGGGGTGCCCAGCTGGCTCAGCTGGAAGAGTGTGCAACTCTTGATCTCAGAGTCATGAGTTCAAGCTCTGCCTTGGGTGTAGAGATGACCGAAAAAAAATAAATAAACTTAAAAAATAATAAAAGAACGTGGGAAACTTCAGGAAGGGGTCAAGGAAGCAAGAAGCGGGAGAAAAACCTGGTCTGAGGGAAAAATCGTTAACCAGTCAATCAAAACTTAGAATCATTTTAGAATGAGTAATAAAATTCATGTGACACAGTCTGAATCTATAAACCAGCAGCACATGAGCCATCAGGGAAGAGCGATCCTGGTCTTCCTTTGTCTTGGCCACACCAATGTTACATATGTTATAGGAGTATGCAGCAATGCTATCAATTTAAAACATTTCTGTAAATACTTAAAAATGTCAAGTAATTCTCTTTGTTGAAGAACCATCAATGAAGTATTCATTTCTTTTCTAAATTTCAGCAAATATGTTGGTCAAAAGAAATTTGGAAGCAGAAGAAAAGAAAGGAGGATTGAGAGATTGAAAGAGAGAGAAGAGGGAGGGAAGGAGAGGAGGGAAGGACAGGACTGGAGGAAGGAGGAGGGGAGGGGAGAGGAGGGGAGGGGGAGGAGAGGAAGAGGAGGAGGGGAGGAGGAGGAGGCATTATACTTCATGTGCCTACTCTATCATCATCCATCTAATTTAATTTGCCTTGAAAAGAGCTGCATGGCTGAATTGATTTTTAATAACTTTCTGTTCTTAAAGTTATTCTGCAAAAGCTTTATTTAAATTTCTAAGCTTTATTTAAATTTCTAAGAGGGGAGAGGAGGAGAGGGGGAGGAGGGGAGGGAGAGGAGGGGAGGGGAGATGGGGAAGGAGGGAGGAGGGAAACGGGGATGAGGGAGGAGGGAGGGGGGAGGAGGAGAGGAAGGGAGGAAGTACTAGTGGATCTCTGGGTTCTGAAGGTCCCCTCCACACTCTGTGGCAGCTGAGCTACTGGACCACCTAGTAAGCTGCACATCAGTACTGGATTAATTCCCATACCCATTGTTGAATTAGAGACACAATTTCCTTTTGTAGCATGGCCCACAGATCTGATAAAAGAGTTTTGTTACTAATAGGTTTTTTTTTTAAGATTTTTTTATTTTTATTTATTTGACAGACACAGCGAGAGAGAGGGAATGCAAGCAGGGGGAGTGGGAGAGGGAGAAGCAGGCTTCCCGCTGAGCGGGGAGGCGGATGTGGGGCTCGATCCCAGGACCCTGGGACCATGACCCTAGCCGAAGGCAGACGCTTAACGACTGAGCCACCCAGGCGCCCCACTAATAACCTATTCTTTTATTGAGTGAGTCTGTGACTAGGTCAGGGCCGCTGAGCCCTGTGGTCTAGAGTTTCA